TGTCTGTCTCTATCTCTATCTCTCTTTATCTCTCTCTTTCTCTCTCTCTCCCTCTCTCTGTCTCTCTCTCTCTCTCTCTCCAATTGTCTAGCCGTCTGTCCTCCCATCTATTGCCATCCGCCTGTCTCCATTGTCTTTGTCCCTGTCCTTTTGTCCGTCTGTTTATCCACCTCTGGCCAAAGAATACAGAATGAGGTTAGGTTTTCAACTGGAGTTTTGAAATGTGCTACCTCCAGCAGGGACATACCCAAAGGGGTCTGGAGGGTGTTTTTGTTTTTACAGACTCCTTTTCATGCAATGTACATGTCCTATATATGCCTGAAGAGCCAGCGGCCCAGTGCTACCTAGGTGCCCCCCCCCCCCCCCCCCTCCTCCTCCTCTCTCACTGCTCAGGCAGAATAATGTTAACGTCAAACACGAATTGTTTCGCCTTATGATAGTTTAGCGTGAAGGTCACGCTGCAAGCAAAACACCGTTCCACCTTCTTGGTAAAGAATTTATACCCATTGTTGTTGTCAGCACTGCATTGACATAGAAAACACTTAACTGTGTCTTTGTTTGCATTCTTTCCCTATCTTTCTACAGTTCTATTGACTGCTTATTGAATGTAACACCAAGCAAGGTTTCCAGATGGCAGGTAAGTAAAGTTCAGGTTGGGAGAATGTAAAATCAATCTGCCTCCCCACATCCAGGCATTCCATCATCGTTCCCATCGGTTTATTCATCTGTCCTTCCGGCAGCCTGTTTAATCATCCCTCCAACGCTCCAGCCCTTCATGCCATCATCCCTCCATCTCATACTATTATGTCCTCACTCACTCCCTCCATCTCTCTCTCCGATCATCCAGCCATAAACCCATCCATCCACCTACTAATCTAACAAACCACCCACTCATCCATCCATCCGTCCATCCACCCATCAATCCATCTATCTATCCACCCACCCATCTGTCTACCCATCCGCCCATCCGCCCATCCGACCATCCATCCATCCATCCATCCATCAATCCATTCATCTATTCATCCACCCTTCAATCCATCTATCCATCCACCCATCCATCCCTCCATCCATCCCTCCGTCGACTAGTCCGCCCATCTATCCATCCACACATCCCTCCAACTACCCATCCCTCCATCCACTAGTCCGCCCATCTATCCATCCATCCCTCCATCCATCCCTTCATCCACTAGTCCGCCCATCTATCCATCCATCCCTCCATCCCTTCATACATCCATGCATTCATCCATCGAGGTACATTATATCCCTCTATCTATGCGTCGCGATAGCCAGCTATCTATTCATCCAGCCAGTAACCTAGCCAGCCCTGAAGCCAGAGACCCAGCCCTCCAACCATCCAGTCATCTGTCAGTCAGACTTTCCACCCCCTCGCTTGTCCGTAAATACATCCACTACCTGTCGGCAAGCCTGTCAGTCTGCCAATACATTTACTGTAAAACCTGTGACTAACGACCACCCCTTGGTGCCAGAGATAGCGGTCTTTAGTGGCAGGTGGTCCTCAGTTAGAGATTTGCACCGCACAACCATAATTAATATGAATGTGAGTCCGTCCGTGCCTGGCAAAGTGGTCTGTAGTACCAGGCTGGTCGCTAGTCACGACATTAGGTTGCAAGTGAAGAGCCGAGATGCAGAACCTGATACGGGCCACCCTTGTGAAAATCATATTTTCAGCTTAGTGTCATTAATAGGTCTCGGGGCAGCACCAGGAAAAATGTCACACTCTAATACTTACAGAGAGAGATGTGTTGAAGAGATGTGTTGAGGATGTGTTGAAGCTAGGTGTCAGGACGTCGAATGTCTCAGTACTCTGTCAGTTTTGTGCCTAGTTGTTGCACTTTCTGACTGTATAGTATCTGGTTACAGTGATGGAGAGTTACTCTCAACTCGTATCTATATTTCCTTTTCCTTTCTACATCTAATACTTACTAGAACCATTTCAAAATAGGAACCCAAGTATGGCTTAGCCCAGGCCCACGGGTACACACCCAGGCCTGCGGGCACACCTCCGCCTACACACACTCCCAGGTGCTTGCGCACACACACACATTTATGTGCACAAAAATAAATGCAGACACACACCTGGTTGTGCTTTCAATGCCGTACCCATGCGCACGCACCACTCACAGCACTATGTCACTACTGAGCGTGTGCCAGGGCTAAATATACCTTGCTGCCCAAAGCACGCATGTTACACGCAAACCCCACATAAAATGAATTCTTTTTTGGCCACTATTCGAAAAGTAATGAAATAGATCTAGCGGGTTGTCCAGCTCTTCAAGTCCCCATTGCAAATACACTTGTGTTGGTTTTTGTGCTTTTGAACCTGACATATGTCTCGTTGATTTTTGGCCTTGTTCTCTGTAGGCAACCCATTCAAAACAACGGAGTTTGTCTCCAAAATTCACGTGTGGTTACAAGATGTTGACCCTTTTCGGCTTCGTCGTCTAGTTCAGAAAGAAGGACTAATCAGCTTTGACCAAATGGAACGTTTGAGGAAGATAAAGGATATTGCTGAACACAATGCAGAATTGATTTCAATACTTTGTCCTGGAGAAACTAAATCCTATCAGGTCTTATGTTCGGTGATCCACCAAATGGGCTACACTGACCGACACTTGGAGATGCTTCGTATTGTGGCTAATCCAGAGCAAGGTGATACTTGATGCTGTTTTGATTAGTGTAGTGAACGTTCTGTGAATTATCAGCAGTCTGTGCATGTTACCCTGTGTATGCCTTATACCTGTGTTCTGCACACAATGCAAGCTCTATCAACGAACAGCACAGAAGAAGATTTCCATTGCTGTTCTCTTTAGCCTTGTAGTGTGTTTCTGTTTTGGTTAGGTAATGGGTGGCCAGAAGATCATTCACAAAGTATAAAGAGGCTAGGGTATGGCCACACCAATCAAGAAACTGCTTCTGCCAGTCCTGTGGTATCAGATTAGACATTGGTATCGGTGAGCCGTGGCGGTGGCAGTCAACTCTATGAAGCTTGGGAATAGAATAATTATTATGATGTCATGACTGTGGGGTTTTCTATTTTATTTCTTTGTATTCATTTTGTCCCGTAAACCAGAATTGCTGGCCAGTGCTGGGCAACCAGAGTCAGCCAACGCCATAGTAACCAGTGCAGACCCACCTGGAACCATGCCAACTGAAGAAGGCACAACAGCAGCGGCTGCGTCAGCAGGATATGCTGCGTATCAATCCACTGCAGGGGCGGCAAGTCCATCGCCACTTGGACAGCAAGTAGCACCAATGTGGCCACCGATGAAAAGCAGAATTGCAGCAGCAAGAACAGGAGCAGTAGGAGGAGAAGCAGCTGGAGTAGCAGCAGCAGCAGCAACAGGTGCAATGACAGCAGCAGGTGCAATGGCAGGAGCAGCAGGGGCAATGGTAGGAGCAGCAACAGCAGCAGCAACAGCAGCAACAGCAGCAGCAGCAGCAGCAGCAGCAGTGGCAATGGCAGGAGTAGCAGAAGCAGACGCACTAGCTTCGTCAGCAACTGTATTAACCCCTCAAGCATCACTACAGGCAAGGCTTCCAATTGGAACAGCAACGTTAGAACGTGTGCATGGAGCAACAGCAGAGTCAGAACTAGAAGCAACAGCCACAGTATCAGCTGTACCAGCACTTCACCATCGCCATTATTCAGGTGAGTTTTGCTTGCATTATAGTTCACATTCGAAGGAGACGTGACAGGAAACAACGTAAGGAGCTAAGGGAAGTTGCGGGGATGGTTATGATCGCAAAGGACTACATCGACAATCAACGCTAGGAACAATAATGCAACCGTATTACCAGACACGGTGTATTATTGACTTCCTCCGCATCATTAACCCTTTAAGAGCCGCCACATACTTGAATGCGTCGTAAACGACGCATTCAAATGCAAAACTTCAAAGGATCGTAACTCAGTCCAATCTCGCTCAAATGCAGTGATCGAAATATCCAGGGCGAAGAGAAAACTCTCACCTGTCGGGCGAAACAATCCGCGAAGCGCTGCGAGCAACGGTTCCTGAGATAAATCACTCGTAAGTTGAGCCGCGATCGCGGCAATTTCAAAAGCGCGCAGTGCGACTTTAGTATTGAGAATTTTGAGACTTTTCGTCATTCTGGTTTACTCGAATTTGCACGGGTTTCACTGTTGATATTGTCAAGAGTACACAGCGAAAAAATTGGAACTCCACGATTGAGCAAAATGAAATATCTGGAGCGGGACGCAATTGGACGCATTTGGGGCATTTTTCGTACTGTCGCTGCGATCTAGCGCTGGATAGACGGTGTGCTGGCTATCATGATCGACCTCGTTCTCTTCCTCTCGCGGAGACCTTTCCAGGAAGCCCTAGATTGTGAGGATTGAGCGAGTAGAACTGAAGCTATGATCCAAGGAACACGAAAAAATGCAGAATTTTGAAATTTTCCTGTGGCTCTCAAAGGGTTAAAATTGTCGCTTCGCAGATCGCAATATTTGTGACTTGGCTTGTCTTAGTCAGACTGTCAGGTTCGCTGTTTTCTGTGTTGGAACATTGGTGCGACCCTTCCGGAGCAATATCTACTTGTTACTGAAGCCGCGGTGTTCTCGGACTTTGTCGGAGCTCTCTTTCGCACCAAGCAAATTCATCGTGCTCCGCACTATTCCACCCCAGAGTGCATATCGTTTTTCTAGAGTTTGTGCCGTGCCACATCGTTCGCGTGGGCAATTATCAAGACTGCAAGCTTGGGCATAAGAATCCTGGTATCTCTCCTGAACACGAAATGCTGAAGTTGAAGATGGCAAGAACAAAATGTTCTCGAATTCCTAAAATGCGCTACTTGTGGCGCATGTTGTTGCGAAGGTAGCAGGTCTGAAAACACCAACAAAATCAGCGAAGCATATGCCAAGGAAATAAGGTACAGAACTGCATACCCTATCCCGCTGGAAGGTCGTTACAGTGTACTTGAAAAATGCTAGCTTGCCTTCATTGCCTGCCACCTGGAGGCATGGATCGTTTGAAAACGAAGTTTCTTGACCTGAATTTGAACGCGCATCTTGTTCAGCGTATTGTTGAGTGCTGAAGGGTCTGCCTGAAACTCTGATGAAGACGTCGACTTTATCTGCAAGTGCAGCAAAGCGGGAGGCCACAGACTAAAGCTTGGTCCGTCGACAATGATCTGCCTCAATTTCTAGCTGATTTGTTTGGCCTCCGAGTGGACAAAATAAATTCGAAAAATCGCTATGGGAAGCGACAATTTTAATGACGCGGAGGAAGTATGTCTATTTAGGGATAGTCCAGGAGTGTGTCAGACGACGTGATAAATCAATTCCTATGGTTACCATTTGAATAATGAAAAACAATAATTTAAAAAGCATTGAGTCAAAAGATCATGAGCCACAGCTTTATACCTCGTGATGAGTTAGGTTGGCTATAGCAATAGCTGCTGCATGTCATACTGTACGGATAGTAAGACCGTCTACAGGTCACCCCAGCCACCCGTACAGGTTCATTCCTCCTGTCTCGTTAGATTTATGGTGAATGTGAAATAGACTTGAAAACATCAGTATGTACTGAGGTGTCATGACACCAGCCATTCACCATGGAAACATTCTTGAATAAAATCAATGGAATTTGATGTATGAGTGTTTGCACGCTTATACAAATGTAGCAACCTGAAATCACATAATCGGTTTGTGGATGCGGACATGTCTGTGTGCTGGTGTACTTGTGGCAGGTGCACAACCACCTCTTGCTCTGCAGCCCGGTGCAGCCTTAGCTTGCTCCTCCACTAATAGATCACTATCAACAATGTCAGGCCCTTCTACTACGGCAGAGACTACATTAGGTCTTAGCCAGACCTGTATGAGTGCACCCACCCAAGCCACTACAACACATCCCATTGCCAGCTCAGCTAACACTAGCACTGGCAGCTTTACAGCTGATGGTAATGCTGCTAGGAGAGGAACTGCATTGCAGCAGAGTACACAGCAACCAGCGTCAGTCCACCTTGACAGCACGGCACAGCTGGCAGCAGCTACAGCAGTAAGACATGCTTCTTCACAGCCTCTCGAGCTGCAAGCCAAGAGGGCCCTACTTAGCAATGTTGGTAGACCATTCACCGATGAAATGACCAGGCATATTGACTATGTGTCAGCTCCAAGTATGGCTCGTACCAGTCCAGGTAAGCGGTATGTCCTTGGAGGCTTGTATACCTGTTATCTACAATGTGCATGTGCCAGTGGAAGTCATTCGCTATGAAAGGGTTTCTGTATGAAACATCATTTTGTACTAAGTTCAAACTTTGTATGTGGATCACGTTAGCATGAGGCTGTTGTATGGTTGCAGCTGAATTTCCATTTAAGCCAGCTGTGTCATTTGTATGTACACTCACACCATGCACTACGGATAACTTTGAAATATTCCTAACTCTGAATCACAACCATTTTGGTGAGGAAGTGCCCCAAGATCTTAGGTATGACGCCAGTATTTCCACAAATTTGGCAAGCGAGTAGTATTATTTCCACTACAGTCTCCCACAGGGTGTCCGGTAGACCGAGGTGCCCGTAACTTGGAGGCCCAGATAAGAGAGGGATTTGATAGTTATGAACACTCTCTCCACAGGGGAAGTATTCTTGTCTATAACTTTACTCACATACAGTCTCTCTAACTAACATTGCCATCACTGATGACTTGATTTCACAAAACATCGGTACAGAATATTCAGACTCTATGCACAAGTGACTGCTCCAATGTGACCGTTCCAATTTGCCCCTCTGTATGTTCCAGACTCCCAGGCCTCTCTGCCGCAGAAGTCTCAGTTCCTCCTGGACAGCACCAAAGGTGACTCAGGGTTGTCCAGTTCGTCTGCTAACTCAGACACAGAAGGTAAGGTATGTAGGGCATGCCTTACATGGGCACGGAGAGCATGTTGGATTGTGCAAATCCGTGGGCTACAGATCCGGATTCACCAACTTTTGACCTGTCGGATTGTTAGAATCCGGGTCCAGGCCACACAGCTTCGGATCTGGTCAACCCTCCCCCCCAAAGAAGGATTGGACAGAGTCAACGTATCCATTTTATTGCTCTGTACCCAAATTTCACAAGATGAATATTGATATCTATTCGCCTTTCTACAATATCAACCTTCTTTGACGAGAGTGTTTTACTCAATACCGCTGTTTGAAGGAACTGAGTACCAACAGAAATGTCACATTAAAACCAGGTTACGTCTGACTGGAACTAAAGCTGTGTTCATAACTGGCGCGTGGACGCGGTACACGTGGGGTTCATGCGTGCCCATACGCACGCTCAAGCTTTCACAAAAACAGCAATCCGAGTCGTATTTAGCACGTGCAAAACCTTCGAGTACTAATTTTGTGACACCGCCAGTAAAAGTGACTGGCATGTACGCTGGTACGTGCCTGATACTCGCTGAAAATTCCAACATGTTGGAATTTCCATTCCGCGCGTTTCCGTACTCATGGCGCCCCAAAAGCCAGCAAAAATACGCACAAACGCGTGGTTTCACACGTACACGCGCCAGTTGTGAACACAGCTTAAGGCTGACCAGAAGCTAATCATATGCTGGTATATCACGGCTCAGATTCGACTTTTGTGAACCAAAATTCACCTTGATGCTAAATTCTTGGTCCAGGAATATTAAAAAATTTAATTCCCAGTATTGTGCGTTGGCTTCATAGGTTTGGAATAAATTATCAGCGAATGTTTGTTGTGCTTTCTTCCATATTAATTCCTCAACTATGTGTATGACCAGAATGGACAGAAGATGATCTGCGCAATGCTCGAGTCACGGTCTTTATGGACAGCAAACTGAGGACATCTGTGGACGACTGTGATAGAATTATCTTGGACAGTTTATCTCAGCTGCACTTCAGTGAGACTAAAATCAAAATCAAATCGAAGAGCAGAAAGAGTGATCCTGCGCTCACCCGTGTTGAAGGAAAAGGTTTGTAATATCCTGTTCTGAACCTTTTTCATGTTTATTTGAATGTGTACATCTCCCAGCGCTTTGGCCGAGTGGTTGTGGGCTTGCCTGCAAATCACAAGGTCCTGAGTTCGAGACCCGCGCTGGGAGCAGGGAGCATGTACTGAGCCAACAAATGCGGTGATGCAAGCGTGAATCACAATACAAGCAAGGAACTGTGCCGACTCCTGGGCCAAATGGCTACTCACTACTCGGAGTGAGTATAACACGGATACAACTAACGAGGTTTGCCCCCTTGTCGGGCATTGGTTGTGAGAGTTACCACCTCACCCTCGCCGTTAGGCGCTGCATCTGCCACCCTGGCATTGCAGGCATGGTGGTGGCCTGGCACATGCAAAACTTCCTAAGCTGGTTGTTGTGTTTCTCAACGCAATTGTATAGCCCGTTGTAACGCGGACGTGCAAACTTTACTTTACAGCTAAGTAGGGCAAAATTCTACTACTGCACACAGCCACAGGCTCGTCGACCAATCCTAGCGTCTGTCCAGGATTTCAAACCAACTGGGTACATGTGTACCTGACGTTTAAGTGTGGCTACTGCATGTGCACTGATCAATGCATGGGGGGGGGGGGGTGGGGGGGGGGGGGGGGAGCGTGTGCGTGTGCAGACCTACATTACTTGCAATGCATGTTTGAAATCTTTAATTCTCACGATGGCCTGTGGCCAATAAGAGAAAAATAATTACAGGCACGGGGATCGGATACAGAGGGATCAAAGTTAAGCTGCTTGCTGAAGCAGTAGCGATGGCAATAGGGCGTATATTACATAGGCTGGGCACAATGGAGCTATAGATGTGCTGAGAAAAGTGAGGAAGTACATACGGAAAAGATGACAAGTGGTAGGATGTTTGCTTTGAAATCTCGTCTGGGGTTGATTTGCCGGAGGCTGAGTGGAATGCTATTAAAGAGATCAAGAGAAGCATAGATGGGGGAGTCTCTCAGCCGGTTTGTACGTGTTGTGGGTAGCTCAAAGGTTCGGGGGAACCTGAGCGTGCGAATGGGTTGTATTCGGGGTAGGTGAATTGCAAGAAGGTGTGGTGGTGCATATCTTTATGCAGGCTATGTGCAAGAAGGATTTTGGAAAAGGTACGGCGGCTGCTGAGTGATGGCCATTTGAGTCGGTGCAGCAGCACGGAGTGGGTTCTGTGTTCAAAGAGGGGGAGGTGCAAACAGAGGCGAGCGGCGCACCGTTGGATGCGCTCAAGCCGGTCGTTCAGGGTTGCGGGGAGGGGTGAGAGGACAGTGCAAGCATACTCAAGAATAGGACGGATGTAGGTTAGATAGATGGAGGAGAGAGCAGAAGTGTAAGGAATTGCATAGTCGCAGGAGAAGGAACATCTTCCTGGTCGCTTCAGTGATGATGTAGTCAACATGCAAGTTCCAGCATAGATTCTGCTGTATAAGGAGGCCAAGGTGGCGATGCCTTGAGGCCACAGTGAGGTTGGTATCGTTGAGTGTGATTGATGGTGGTCTGGGAGGTGGCCGGTTGGTGTGGTGAAAGTGGATGACAGTGGTCTTACTTTCGTTGACCAGGAGATTCCAATCCTTCAGCCACTGTGCCGCGGTTGTCACAGCTGACTGGAGGTGCTCTTCTGCGGCTAGAAATTTCTCCTCAGCAGCAATGATGGCAGTGTCGTCGGCAAACTGGCTGCACTCAGTGTTGGCATTTATGCAGGCGGTTGGCAGATCGACTGTGTATGCCGTGAACAAAAGCGGCGCCAAGAGAGAGCCTTGGGGGAACCCCGCTGGAATGTTCAGCCAGGTTGATTTGCTGCTCTCCACTTGCACACATTGTCGTCTGTTGATGAGATAAGAGGCAAGCCACTGTAGGCATTTGCCATCGAGTCCGAGGTGGGCCAATTTTGCAAGCAGTCCTTGGTGCCACACCCGGTCAAACGCCTTATATAGGTCGAAGAAGCAAGCAATTACTGTTTGCACAGCGTCTCTTTTCTCGGTGATCTGATGGATTAACCGAGATAGCTGCTGTGTGGTGCCATCGTTTGGCAGAATGCCTGATTGGCCGTTGGGGAGGTTAGGTTGGATGTGCCTCGAGATCCGGTGAGCAACTATCCTGTCTTGCACTTTCGACGTCACGCTCAACAACGATATCGGTCGATAGTTCGAGGGCTCGGTTTTGCTGCCCTTCTTGTGGATGGGGGTGACTGATGCGTCCCTCCACTCTTGCGGGATAGTGCAACGTTCGAAGGAGATGTTAAAAAGGGTTGCTAGTGACGGCGCAAGTGAACTGGCTGCCTCTTTCAGTAGGCGGGTTAGACAGTAGCTTTGAGACCTCTTGGGCTGTTGTTTCAAGTGTAGTGAGGCCAGGTGTATTGGGTGTGGGGAAATGAATGGAAGGGAGTTCCTCGTGGCACCCTGTGAGTAACTGTTGGCTCTGCAAGATGAAGAAAGCATTCAGGGTGGTTGCTTTTTCAGCGGGGGTTGAGAGAGTCTGGCCCTGGGAGAGCATGTCTGGCAGAGTAGGTCGTTGCGAGTACTGGAGGCCGTGCATCAGTTTGTGTAGGTTTGGTGTGGAGTGGTTTATATGGTTGTTGTGTGTGTATGTGATCATGTGATCATGTGATCATGTGTCTGTTTGTGTGTTCGGCCATGTACGTGAATCTACATGTGTCCTGCAGGAGGAGATACAAGGACATTGGTCCAAATCATTATCAACGGAAAACCTGATGACTACACTAAAGAAAGGATCCGAAGGGAAGTTATTGAGGACCTGGAGGACCTTACCTTCTCCAAGGATCAAATTCAGGTCATCTACAAAGGCGACTGGGATTCCATCCAGGTCGTACTACTGCTACCAATGAGGACACTGGGTCATCTACTCTACCTTGCAGTACACTATCCTGGACTGCTGGGAGGCCTGGGTATACTTCAAATCATCGACATCTCCTCATTGACAATAATTGACTTTCGAGAGATAACAGGTATGTTGCTATTATGTGCTGTGTGTCTTTCTGTGTCTGAGTTTGTGTGTGTGTGTGTGTGCTCCAAGAGACGAAGTGGTTTGGCAACAATGTATACAATGTTGAGGATGCTGTTGTTGTTGCTTCTGGTCGACCGACACCCGTGGAAAATTTCGCTCGTGGCGAGGGAGTCGCGCTCGTGATGCGGGGCCGCTCAGCGCTGGCGTTTGCAGCAGGCGGCCGACAGTGGACAGCTGTGTCTTCTCGTGTGATGGTCGTAAAGTTGCAGTTTGCTCTGGAGTCTGGCAAGTCGCAGTGGGTTCATGTTCTTGTTTGCTACGCTCCCACTTTCCGCAGTAGTCGTGATGAAAAATTCAAATTTTTCAATTCGCTTGAACACGTGCTTCTGTCAATTCCGGTCTCTGATAAACTCATCGTACTCGGAGACTTCAATGCTCGAGTTGGTTCAGGGCAGCGTGATGACGAGTGGCACAGAGTTCGCGGTCCTTTTGGTACTGGAGCTATGAATGAGTCTGGTGAACGTTTACTCTTGTTCTTGGCTCTGCATGGTCTGCAAATCTGTAACACCTGGTTCAAGAAGCGGGACGCAGAACTGCACACATGGCAACACCCACGCTCGCAGGCATGGCACTGTATCGACTTTGTCTTCACTAGGCGAGCGGATCGTGCCAACTGCATGGACTGTCATGTTGTTCGCCGTGCAGAGTGTAGCACTGATCACAGATTGGTGTGTCTGACCTATCGCCTTCCGGCACCAGTCCACCGCCAGCGCCTGCCACCGCGAAACCCTGGGAAACGTAGCGTGTTCGATGTAAGCCAATTGAAGACGTGTACGGGTATGAGTGAGGAGGAGCGGGAAGTTGTTGAGTGCAACAGGGCAGTGTACCGAAGTGCTCTTGGTGATCGACTGAAATCGTGTCACGTCACCCATGAAGACACCTGGCAGCCTATCAAGTCGGCGATTGTAGATGCTGCCGAAGCTTCCATCCCTGCACGGAAATCTCGACGTCAGCCTGACTGGTTTGCAGACAGCGCAACAATCCTTGAACCCAAGCTGCAACATCGAAACCGTGCCTATGCCCAGTGGCTTCAGTCTGCTGATCCCGCTGACCTTTCAGCTTTCCGCAAGGCCCGTAGTGCAGCGCGTACTGCAGTTCGAACGGCAAAGCGTGTCTGGTTGCAGAGAAAGGCGGATATGGCACAGTCTGGCAAGTTCAGTGGGGAGCGCGTCTGGTCAGCCATCCGGGACATCCAGCGCTGCTACAATGGTATGAAACCTGTGGCCTCTCATTCCATTCGCAAATCTGATGGAACCCTGTGTGTGTCAGCGGAGGAAGAGCGTGTTTGCTGGCAGCAACATTTCACCCGTGTTCTCAATGTCATTAGTGTGTTCGATGTCTCTGTCTTCCAGCAGTTGTCCTGCCGGGAAGTTGACGACAGCCTGGCATGCCCTCCAACGGCTGTGGATATTGAGTGCGCTCTCCATCATCTGGCCAACGGCAAGTCGGCTGGTTCGTCTCTCATCGTTGCGGAGCTGTTGAAGCACGGCTTTACTGTTCTTCGGCCACACCTGGATGCACTCTTCTCCACATGCTGGTCAGCGTCATCTGTGCCTCAGGAGTGGAAAGATGCTGTGCTCGTCCCTATTCCAAAAAAAGGTGACTTGAGCAAGTGTGACAACTGGAGGGGAATAGCCTTATTGGACGTCGTCGGGAAGCTTCTCGCACGTGTTATTCAGGACCGGCTGCAACCTCTTGCTGAGGCACATCTCCCTGAAAGCCAATGTGGTTTTCGGCGCGGGCGATCCTGCACAGATGCCATCTTTTGCGTGCGACAGGTAGTCGAGAAGGCATTCGAGCACCGCTGTAAGGCCTTTCTCGTTTTCATCGATCTCCGCAAGGCGTACGACTCGGTACCGCGCGCTGCACTGTTGCTGGCCCTTGAGGTGTATGGTGTGCCTGGGTCACTCATCCAGCTGATTGACGGCTTCCATTCAGGCATGCAGGCTGCTGTTCGGGTTGATGGTGATGTGTCTGGGAACATCTCGGTTGAGAATGGTTTGCGGCAAGGGTGCGTTATGGCCCCACTGTTGTTTAATCTGTACTTTGGTCTTGTGCTGGAAGCATGGCGTTCAGCTATAGCAGCAGCTGGTGTTAATGGTGTGTCCCTGATATCTTCAATCCATGGAAGTGGCAATCTATTTCCCAAGCGAACCCGTCAAACTGGCACGACATCGGTCAACGACCTGGAGTTTGCAGATGATGCAGCACTACTTGCACCATCCCGTGAGTCAGCTCAACTGGCTTTGGAGCTGTTCAGCAACGTTGCTTCTTCCTTCGGCTTGACTCTGAGTACAGCGAAGACCAAGTTCATGGCCGTTGGTGCAAATTTATCATGTGCTGACCGCCTTCCGCTCTTTGTTGGTCCGGAGGAGATCGAAAGTGTCAAATCCTTTGTGTATCTTGGCTCTGTGATAACTGCTGACACCCGCTCATCTGCAGATGTGGCCAGAAGACTCGGTAAGGCAGCGGCAGCTTTCGACCTTATGCGCCGTGTCTTTCTTGACCGAAACCTTTCCATCGCCACCAAGCGCCATCTTTACGATGTTTGCGTTCTGTCCACATTGCTCTATGCCTGTGAGTGCTGGACTCCGCTGAAGAGAGACATGGTTGCCATCAACAACTTCCACCACCGCTCCCTCAGGTTCATTCTGGGTGTATCCCGGCTCGATCAACAGCTGCAGCATGTCAACAACCAGGAGCTGCGAAGACGCTGGGGTGATATGGCACTGCCATCTGATACCGTCAGACACCGCCGTCTGCAGTGGCTTGGGCATGTCGCCAGAATGCCAGATAACCGGCTTCCGAAGCTGATACTGTTTAGCTTCTTCTCAGATCCACGCCCAGCCTGTGGGCCACGACTGCGATGGAAAGACCTCGTCGCACGTGATCTTCGTTTCGGTGGCATAGTGAATTGGCTCACTTTGGCTCAGGATCGCCCAGCATGGCGCGAGGCAATTGCAAAGACTCCGGATGATCTCGTGGAGTGTAACAACAACAAAGTCACCTGCAAGGTTTGCAACCGATCATTCACTGCTCGTGGGATTCACCGTCACAAGTGCTCAGCTGTACGGTCCTTACCTGTTGCCCAGCAGCCTGGGGCCCGTCACTGTGGAGTTTGTGACCGCTGGTTTCAAAGCGCTGGCGGTTTTGCAGTTCATCGTTGTGTGGAGCGTCAGACATCGGACGAAATACCAGCTGTTTCAACGAGATGCAGCCTGAATTTGGACTGCTGCCAGCACCATTGCTCGATCTGTGATCGCTGCATGAAGAGTCAGGCTGGTTTTAACCGCCATAATTGTACTCGAGGCAAACGACTGCGAAAGGACCAGAGGACTAATCTGCCCATTCAATGCAGCATATGTAACGAACGATTCTCCCGCCCGCAGGACCTCACCCGCCACCGAAGACAGAAACACTAGCTATGTGTAGAACGGTCCCCTTTCACCTCAATTATTCTCCTTGTTTCTTTTTTCTCGCTGTTGTCTCCCGCTTCTGGGAGCGACGTGGCCATTTTGTGGCAGTTGTACATAGTAGTAGTGTGTGTGTGTGTCTGAGTTTGTGTGTGTGTGTGTGTGTGTGTGCGTTTGTGTGTGTGTGTACGTTTGTGCACACGTGTATGCACGTGTGGGTGCATGTTTAAGTGTATGTGTGCATGTATGCATGCATGTGGGTATGTGTGTATGTCCAACCGTGTGTGTGCGTGCGTGCATGCGTTCTTGCTTGCTTGCCTCTGCGTACATGTGTGTGTGTGAGTGTGTGTCCTAGTGTATACCTGAGTTTTAAAACACCTGCGCTAGTCAAAGAAACTGTTCTTTCAGCTGCCATTCCTCTCTCTGTTCTTTCAGCTGCCATTCCTCTCTCTGTTCTTTCAGCTGCCATTCCTCTCTCTGTGCTTTCAGCTGCCATTCCTCTCTCTGTTCTTTCAGCTGCCATTCCTCTCTCTGTTCTTTCAGCTGCCATTCCTCTCTCTGTGCTTTCAGCTGCCATTCCTCTCTCTGTGCTTTCAGCTGCCATTCCTCTCTCTGTGCTTTCAGCTGCCATTCCTCTCTCTGTGCTTTCAGCTGCCATTCCTCTCTCTGTGCTTTCAGCTGCCATTCCTCTCTCTGTGCTTTCAGCTGCCATTCCTCTCTCTGTGCTTTCAGCTGCCATTCCTCTCTCTGTGCTTTCAGCTGCCATTCCTCTCTCTGTGCTTTCAGCTGCCATTCCTCTCTCTGTGCTTTCAGCTGCCATTCCTCTCTCTGTGCTTTCAGCTGCCATTCCTCTCTCTGTGCTTTCAGCTGCCATTCCTCTCCCTGTGCTTTCAGCTGCCATTCCTCTCTCTGTACTTTCAGCTGCCATTCCTCTCTCTGTGCTTTCAGCTGCCATTCCTCTCTCTGTGCTTTCAGCTGCCATTCCTCTCTCTGTGCTTGTGCCAATCTCAATCGTGCTTGAAAGCGTTGATTTCAGAAGTCGTCAGAAGTCAAAATCTAACCTAAATTACCCACTTTTGTATCCACTCTGCTCATGGCGAAGTATAGGATGTGATGACTGGGCCCCTCATGTTGCATAATCAGTCCTGGGAATTCCTTGTTTAGGGAATACTTCTGCTGCACTTGACATTGTCTAGTCGCCAAGGTGATCATGGTGATCCGTAGTCCCGCGTAGCGCCTTCCCAGCCTCGGCCCTTTTTACCTCCGCAGACCGCACCAGAAAAAAGATGACAACGCTGTTTTGGTGAATATTTTCTGAGTGCCTCTACAGTCCGTGCGCCAAATTAAAAAAAGTCGAAAGCCTTGTCTTGTCAGGGATCGATTTATCCGGGTTCGCATCGCAGTTTGCGAATCAGAATTCACTGGCTGCGATTCGCTTTTCGTTTTTATCGCCCAAAACAGTGATGCACTGGCCATGTATACCGGTATGTACAAAGACCATTCTGTACTGTTTGTGTTCAGTTTGCAT